TAGAAACGGAGATGAGCACCGCCCCCTAGAGTCGGAACGACTAGCACATACGTGCCAGGAGAACTTTACCTTTATTGCAGATACACAAACTCAATCATAGTCTTAACTAAGTAAAAGCATCTTTTTACCAGACATGTTTCCACCACACTTGCCCCCCACCCCTTGAAAAACAAATGGTGAAATTTTAGCACTAAGCAACTCCTGGCAACATTTGGAGGTTATTCCAGCGTTTCTCAACCTTTTGGCGACTTGAAGAAATGTGGACTTCCAGCTCCCAAAAAGCTGGCTAGGGAATTCTAGGAGTTGAAGACCTCACCTCTTCAAGCCCACCGTCCTTGTCCTACCGTCCCCATTTATATGTACTCATTTTATGTGTTTATGGCTATGTTTTGCTTATTTATATTCATTTATTTGTGCCATTTTTGATACTTGTTTCCTTGCACCTGACAAATAACCAAGTCGCCAAAGGTTGAGAAACATTAAGGTGCAACGAAGGAGAACGCCTTGCAGATCAAAAGCCAGAGGTTTTCTTGCTGGCAAATGAGGTCTTGCAAAACAAGGCGGCTCCGAAGAACCACGGAAGCCGCCGCAGAGAGAAAAGCGGGCCGAGGACTCCAGAAGGTAACCTGGCCAGCCCTTCGCCTTCCTGACTAAAGGCAAATGGGAGGAGCGGGCAGGAAGTCCGGCCCTCTGGGGTGGGCAGCACCGCGCTGGATTTGTCGCTGCTGGCCCGCCCATCCTCGGCTGCCTCTGGGGCCAGCTACGCCCTCGCCGCTGCCTCCTCCTCCTCCTCCTCCTCGCAGAAGAGCGTGCTTCGCCATGGCTTTCGCGACCCGTCCCTTCGTGCGCCTAGCTTCCACCGCAGCCGCCAAGAAGCTGCTGATCAAGCATGTGACGGTGATCGGAGCCGGCCTGATGGGCTCCGGGATCGCCCAGGTGAGCTGCCTCAGAGCGTCGTCTGCCCTCCGAGGCTGGAAATAAAGGGACGTCGGCTGGAGCAGTCCAGCTTTGAGCCTCCCTGGCCCTCCGCCTCCCTTGGTTAGTTGCATGGAAAATCTGTTCCTGGACGCAATTGGATCACCCCAGCGCTGGACTAAGAGCCGGAAAATCTGTGCCTTTGATTAATACTAAAGCGGAGGGTGATCTTAAGTCTGTTGCAATGGGGGAGGGGAATCAAAATTGCTAGCAAAAGAAGAGTCCAGCAGGAGGAGGACACCACCTTCCTCCACTGCAGCCCTCCAAAAGTCCACTGCAGCTGGACTACAACTCCGGGAATGCCCACTTAGTATGGTATGAGAATTATACTTCTCATGCAACAGAATAGCTGGGAAATTCTGGGAGTTGAAAGCCCACACCTCTTAAAAGTTGCTGAGGTTGAGAAACCCAGGTTGCAGGTGGAGCAAAGTTGATCTGGGTAGATAAGTTCCCATTAAGCTGAACTATACTAGTAAAGAGGCACATGTCTCCAATGTGGTTTGGGTGTGTGGTGCTCAAGCTATGGTAAGAGAAAACCTTTAGCTGCCATGGATATGCTGCCTTTTGGATACTATAACTTTCTTTGAAAACCTTAGGAATTCTACCCAAAAGTGCTTTTTTTCAAGAGGCAACTGGATTTTCTGATTTTTCTTTGAAGACTTTTGCTTCTCATCCAAGAAGCTTCTTCAGGACCGCGAAACATCTTCAAAGAAAAACCAAAAACTCCAGGTGCCTTTTTGAAAAAGCACCTTTGGGACAACCATGACCTGGATGACTGAGAATCTCCATAGACACTTATGAATTATAACTTGGAATTTTCAAACGAAGTCTCATCCCAACTTTTGTTTTTGCCCATAGTGCCATTCTAGAACTTTTTTTTAATTAAAAAGGTGTCAAAAACAAGAGTCCCTTATTTCCCCCCCCAAAAAAACCCTAATAGCCTGTTTTTTTTTAAAAAAGATACAGTATTTAAATTTAAGCAGCTGCAGCATTTCAATAAGGAAAAAAAAACATTGTAACAATAGTGACACTTTAAAAAATCCCCACAAAACACTGTAATCCAGGACTTTGTATAACAGGGCTTAGTCCTTACTACTAGTTAGTCCTTAGTCTTAACAGGCCTTAGTCTCTACTCTTCTCCAAGGACTGGTAGGAAATAATGGTTTTAACTAGTTTTCCAAATAACAGAGTGGGGCAGGATATTCTAGCCCCACGGTAAGGCAGATTCATTAATTTTAGGGAAAATTCAA